ATTAGCATTTTTTCGATTTCCAACTGTCGAGCGATCTTTAATGTGCACAGCCTGGGTTTATTGTCCGATCCGAATAACTGGACGCTTTTTCCATGTCAGCCCCTCTTACCTGCATCACTGACAGGGGAAACCAGGTTAAAAAATCCGAAGGTATTATCTCGACCTGGACTGTCAGGTTAGCGAGCAAGCGTCTAACTCACTGAGACACCACAGCTCCCGGCCAACCATGAGGAGGTGGTCTCAAAACGGTTCTCAGATAAATAAATTGGTGTAATGTAAACAGTAACCATTCCGAGAAGCGCTTGTTCCTTACAAGTGACCTTCACCTTTGCCTGCAGAATTTTGTCATTATTCTGTGAAATTACATCAGCTTCAAAGCTGTCAGCTGAGCTAGAAACGGGTTGACAGATCACATGGTATCATTATGGTAACTGTTAATGATGCCATTTTAGAAAATCAACTTTCTGAACATAGTATGAATATTCAGGGTCTATCTATACGCTGTTTAACAGCGGCTGTTTAGTCTGCAGAATTCCAAAACAGGGAAATGAGGCCATTTTGATCAGTTACGTGACATTGTTAGGTTGTTTTCATTGATGTATGGAATTGGTCAAAGATTTTCTATTAAGACAATAGATCAGATGAGAGCTCTCATCTGCATGGAAAAAAGTAATGAGAATGCCTCTCGAGGCATGCAGCTCAACTAGTTCCTCTGTGGCAGGCTTAAGATATTGACTGAGATTTATTTTAGTCAAAACTTATAGGGTGGATATTTAAGATATTAATAAGGTTGTTGTTCTAAATTTGTCTCTCTGTACAATATTTCATTGTTACTTGTTAGATGTGAATCAATTCAGATGTAGCAACTAGATATACATTAACAGGGCAACTAAAAATATTACTACTCAATCAGGATTTCCATAAAAGGTCTCCAGAAGACTGCACAACAATAAAATATAGATTTCGTATCATCAAAAAAAGACCTTGGAATTAATTTTAGTCACTGACCAATCAGATAAACAAAGACTTATGTTTTGTTTTGTAAAATTGGTTCATTGCAGTACATCTGATAGTATAGTATAATGTTTTTGAAGTAAATGATCTAGAAATTTAAGATTTTGTTGCCAATTGACAATTATGTTCATCTTAAAATCTGGATGTTAAACACACCGGTAATGTTTTCAATTAGCAGACAACAATTACGTTTTATTGGTAGAAAAATTTAGTTAGGCCAAAAACACAAACAATTGGCATGCATTTCTAGTCATGATGATTAAAATCTTCTGAATGAATCCACACGTAAATATTCCGCTTATTTCTTATCTAGAATTGTAGTCTTGAGTTTTCAAGTCTCATTTCAAAGGAGAAAATAATAATTATCTATTGAAGATGTAGGTTGTCGGAGGAAATATCTCGGATATTAATACGATGACCACAGATCTTTCCTATAGAGTGAAGTTTTTGTAAACCAGGCATAAAAGAAATGATGTCATAATCAATTAGAGTGATCTGCCCATCAATCAAGGATATCATTAAAGTCATATAACGAGATGTATCTGGATTTCAGCTGGTTATTCAGATTCAAACCTTATCGATTAACATCGTCATCAATTGGGCTAATTTTTGTTGTGTTTTACATTTTGGTTCGTTATTATCTAGATATCTCTAATGAGGTTAGGCTGGCCTTCAATAAGAGGAAGTCATGAAATCTGCTAAGATATGTAACAGAAAGAAGATATGATAGAAATGTTTAAAGGGATGTTAATATGGACATCTGAAAGGAATGTAATAGGATCTTAAAAAGATAGCATGAAAGTGAAATCACATACCTGTAAATTGAAATATAGGGCGTGACCACAGGAAATTTTCAAGGTTATGATGGATAAAATGATGCAAAAGAAGGCAGTAATGGACAAAAATTTAAGAGAACAAACAAAATCTTGAACCATAAAACATTTGATATAATTTCGATTACTATATAGAAAAGCACAGATAATCTAAGTCTTTTCGGATAAGATTTACAACCTAAGGGGTAGAACTAAATGATGTAAATCATACATGAGTAATTAACAAAATGTTTGAATAATGATGAAAGTAAATTCTTTGATATTTATTATAAAATTGTGGTTCCCGTTTGAATGTTTACATGAAGTAAATTTGAGTACTAAGTAATTAGTATTAGTAGATTAATCAATGTTTTATAACAAGGTTAAAATCAGTGTGAAACAATAATGACATATAGTAAAGTGACAGAGAGTCAATGTTAATTAGAACGATCAGACGCAGCCAATGAATGATGGTTTTACATCATGTCTATATATGGTAAGAGGATAATACCATAAGGTATCCTCATTAGTGAGTGGAATTATATCGTTAATTATTATCCTATCTGATCAAATACTTTTATATCAATAAGTTCATTACAGTGCCAAGCTACATATTATTTTATACAGGAATCAAACTTGTAATAGACATTGTAGCTCAAATAAATTTGGAAATCTTTGTAAATTGTATCCCTTGATAAAGTAAAAAAAAAGATAAAACATTAAAACTTTTGTTTGAAATGAAATTAGACCTGCTTTGATCTGTGATCTTATTTTTGATTTTTACCGATTGCCAAATAATAAGTCAAGCAAATAGCATAATAGTAACAAAACAAAAAAAACATAAAAGATAACCTGAATTCATCATCCATATTATCAGTCATTTATCAGTTGGAGCACAAAAAAAAATCGTTTGTAGCAATCAATAACTGAATAATTGACATATAAATACTGAGCTATTATTCTCTATGTTTATCATTGTTTTTTCTGTCCTTGAAATTGTATATTGATACAGTTATTGATGCATGGTAATATATTTAATATACAATAGTTACATTTATTATACATTTAATGTTTGAATTTACATTTATTATTACATTTACTGAATTTTATAATAGTAATTTATATGTAAAGGTTATTTTCCTATTCTACAATGAAGATTACAATTCACACTTCAGAATAAAGCTGAATGACTTGTGTCTATACTGAAAATAACTTTGTCTGCTCTCATTTTGGCATAGATTGATATAATACTTATAGATTTTTAAGCTGTGTCTAGTTGAAAAACTGTTAGTGATGCAGGTCAAAGAGACTGACATGAAAAAGCGTGTATTTGTGTTGTTGGGACACAATTTGTATTTGTGTTACAGGTCTATCTACCAATATATAACTATAAGCTTAAACAAAACATTTTTCATGCCGAAACTGTTCAGAACATTTCTAAAAAGCCGTTCTTAATGAAACACTATTTAACATTGTTATTGAATACAAGTTGTGCCTGTTAAAGGTCAGTGGATAGTTGTCAATTTTATTTGAGCTTGTATGCCAGTTCTACCATACGTTTATCATAGGTAGTTTCCAGTCATTGTTAAACATAAACTAAAACAATTATTATCAAATATTTCCTGTTATAAAATCAATCCCTAGGGGCTTATTTTTAGTGCATTACTTTAAAACGTAGCTTTCGTTTTCTAGCAGCAGTTTTTCTGATTCAATAGCTTGTTTGTTCAACAATCAGAAGAAATAGTTGTTGTACTGGTTTTCATTTACCACACTTAATGAGGTACCAGCACTATTGAGAGAGACACTAGGTGGCGCTAGTGAGGTAGGGCACGCAAGTTATCAATAGTATTTTATCTGCTACTGTAGACTACAGTCTGTAGTAATAGTACTTGTAGTGCTTTGCAAGCTTCAAAAGGCAACTACCTTGACCTTTCTACTGGCTCCTATTATAATCCATAAAATTCACCAAGACATACTATACATATTAAAAAAATGAAATCGAATTCGCTTTTTAACAATATTTTCAAATAAGTTATATCAGCAAGCATTTCCGAGAAACGGCAGTTTGAATTTGATTTATCAGAGTCACACAAAAAATTGTTTCACCAAAATTCTAAATCTTCATCCATGTTAAATTTGCTTTTATATTTGTTTCCAATTTCGCCCAATTTTACTTTAAAAAAAGTATTAACGAAAAATTTGCAATGTATATCAAGAGTGTGTGTCACATGATTAAATGATTTTTGATACACAAGATGTAAGTGATGAGTGCCAATGACAACATGCGTCTGGATATTCCAGTTGATTCCCTGTGAACTTACAGTACGAATAACAACGATATGTTGTTTAATTTCTTTCGTTAAAAAAAGTATAAAATATATTGTCAGAATTCTATTTGAGAGATAGGTACTAGTCAAATATGACATCATTATTATGCCCAGAAAAACTATAGATAAATGAGCACAAGTCTATATAATAGTTGGATTGAGATGTCCTACTTCACTACAGCTCCATTAAGCAGATTGCTTCTGCCTGCCTTCATTGACATTCTTCAAAGAAAATCTGACATATGCGACTTTGTCTCATAAATTGTATCACACAAGGATAGTAAAAGACCATTTATTGCATGTGATAAGTTGTGGTACACTGATTCTTTAATAGTGCATTGATTAAACCCACATGACAAAATTCAAACATTTCAGAAGTTCGACCTTTTTTTTTGCAAATGAACAGAGCAGGCTCCAAATAAAAAGTCTGCAATACCTTTTAGTCTTTTTTTGATTATTTTAGGTTAAGCTTAATTTTTAAAGGAGTTGGTTACCAATATGTCAAGCTATAACCAATTCCACAGAAAAGTTTGTTTCAGAGTAAAAACTATTTCAAATTTGTGTTTTTTACTTGAAAATCAAGAGCAAGCAATTATCTTTGACATCTTGAATGGAATCGTTAGGAAGTGCACACATTCTCAAATTTATTGAACAATCTACAGGTCTCCAGTGTGCCTTGAGAGAGTTAAAATTAACATGTATTTGACATTATTGGAAGAATAGAATCAAGTAAAGTTGAAATGTTGTTTCTTAGCTAATTTCACCAAGGAATGGACTAAAAGAAACTTCAACTTATCTCTTGGGAAAAATTAATGCGCTTACAATTTTTTGTTTTATATCTTTGCAGGTTGCCATTAAGGTTATTGATATGCGGAAAATAAAAGAGGATTACTTGAAACAAAATGTAAATCGTGAAGCTGTTATATTAGGACAACTAAATCATCCTAATATTATTAGACTGTATGAAACAATGAAGGTAAGTTTCTTCTTGTTTTATTGTACTCAATGATAGAAGTGTTATCAGGTTATAAAACTAAATAGAAGTGACATTACAAAATGATGAATGACAAAATATAAAGATAAATAAAAAAGAAAATTTGTTTTCCAGAAATTAATTATTTAAATTAAGGATAAGCATCATTAAATCAGAGCATCTGTATTATTGTCATCTTACAACAACTAAATTTCATTGTGTTTTTAATTTTTAGTTTAGATGAGTCAACTGTATTTATTCCATACTTTGAACAAAATTGGATGATCAGTCATAGAAGGGCTGATTCTGCAATGGATTGACAAAGCAGAATTCAATAGGATTGTGAGAGGTTTCAGACTTATTGACCCACTACATACCTAGGCTACATATAGAATATACTGATAAATTGTTGTTGGTTCTATAAAAACTATGTTAGGAGACAATAGATCATTATTTTGATTAAAACTCACTGTTTATAGTTCCATCTGTTTTATTCCAATACTATTATCAGAATTATATTAAAAATTTATTGAGTTATCTCAAGTGAATTTCAAAATTAAGGACAAATCAACTTCATTAACAAGCAGACAAGCATGTTTAGAATCATTCTAAAAAGTTCAGCTGAAGTGGACAAACCATGTATCAGAGTAACATTAGGTGTTCTTGATGGCTGAGAGTTTCATGCCCATTATGACACCTACCACAATCATTATTTGAAATAAACATATCTAATATATTAAATTGAATTGAGCATATATTTCACCTCATCAAGAACAGCTACCAGTACTTTTCCAATAATTGACTTGCATGAGTAAGAAACAAGTACAGAAAGAGAACAACAAGAATATTCTACCAAACATCCTTTGGGATGATAATAGATCTTTCTAATAGAAGAATCCTTGGATTTTTGATTTGAATAAAATTACATATCACATAATCCATGTTACAAATAGTACAATAGTTAGGGCATTCTGACCACAGACAACTGTCATTGCACATTTGTCTGTTACTTTTGAGCCTACACATTAAGTTGTTTTTGTGTGGCTTAAAGCTTGAAATTAAAAAGTAAAGGCAGTATATCTGTCTAGTCTGTCTAGTTGACAGATTGCACATGAAAGTGAGTTCTTTATTGTCGACAAGCCAAAGATTAAAATTTTGACTTTTAAGTTTCCAATGGGCGGTCATAATCAAGGCATGAATGTTGTCTCAAATAAAGTTCATCAACTAAGACATTTACCCCTACCTTGTAGAAATGTAATGAATAATTAAGTTGATTATGATCTTCACTGGTTGCTTATTGATTAATTCTACTAATATACACCCACATTCACAGTGCTGATATACATTCTCATCTTTGTTTGTTCATAACAGCATGTCCATTGTTTATATGTTTGTATTTTAGGATGTACAATTGCAGTTTAAGCATGGAAGTACTTGTGTGCAACTCTTGTTAAATAAGATCATTATGATGTGCTTTTGTATGAAGACATTGATGCCAGATAGCCCCAACATTTTTATTTCTAACTTTTGATAAATGTAACCTCTCATATTCACTTATAATGAAAACAAGACAATAAGTGCAAAGAGTAAGATAGAAAGCGCTTACCGTTGGGTAGTTTTTTCAGCACCCTTGGCCAAAAATCCACCTTGTTAATAATGCTTATTTGACATATTTGTCATTAGATCCAGAAATATTTATGCTTGTGATTTCAAAGAGATACTTAAAACCTTATAAACTTGAAATATCTGCTCTATTTCTCTGTGTAATGAAACTAATATAATTGAAGACTTGAAAATCTCATAAGATTTGGAGTGGTATACTGTCCTACTCTCTCCTACTGCAATTTCATCATCTTAACTGGCAATTTCATAAACCAACAAATAATTATACAGCTTTCCAAAAGGCGTGATTACAAACGCTCCATTTACTTCGACATAACGAATAATTTCATCAAAAGACTTGAGCAAATTTTGTGAAAATAAGAAAACCACTTCTTAGTTTGTTAAGATTGTGAAGATCAATAAGTTTGTAAACAAAGAATGGCGCTATATATTGCTACATACCGACCGTTTTATTATTATACCTCAGTTGATCGCCAAATCCTTTTTTCTTGACACAGAATCTGTAACAAGCTTTCTTGAATAGAGTATTTCTAATACTTATATTGACTTAAACCAAATATCATTTACTGACCATATCATTTAACTGACTTTTGTTTGTGGTTGATCAGTATTTCTTCAATCATAATGTGGGCTAGTTCCTTTAATTTCCGTTAACTAACAGAAATAGTTCCAATTAATTAGGTTCCTAGGAGGATTGTGCCTCAAGATACAGAAACACTCTTATAAACTATTTCCTTGATATATGCATAAGATAGGAAATTAGATGAAATTAATTTCACGATCTGTTTTTCGACTCTTCATTTGACACATGACAGTAGCATGCAGTGTGGAATGAGGCAAAGTTTGGGTTTCAATCTGTTACGCAATCTTTGAAATAAAAGACATGTTGATTGTCCCTACTGAAAAAATACACCCTTTTTATATCTCTGACAGAAAAAACTGTTAGAATAATCTGACGGAACTCCATCTTGAATTAATCCACAGAGGCATTTTAATGGACTTGACTTGAGTCAATGAGAAGCTTGAATAAATTTCAAGTCAGCCCCTATTGCGAAAACTAGCTGTTCTTATGAAGATTCTGTATCCAAAGCATGTGATGAACTTTATTCATTAAAAATAAAACGAAAAAAAAGAAATGCTATTGTGGAATGAAATTTTTTTTTATAGTTTATAGATGCTCATCCACCTTCTTCACAATCTCAAGATGTGTTGACCCTACAGTCTTCAACTTACCTCTTCTTTTTAATTGCTAACTTACCAGTAAGATTTGAGAAAATGTCGTCCTAAATATGAACAAACAAAATCTATTGTATCGGTTTTGAAAAATGTTAAAAATATTAGCTGATTTAGAAAAAGAGAATTTTTATTATCAAATATTTCAATATTTTGTCATTATTAATAATGTAACAATATGATATAATACACATTTGTCTTCTGCATTAAGGATCAGAAGGAAGCTATTTTGTTGTCAAACCACTTAAAGAATATTAGATTCATTTTTATGCATTAAGCGACTTTATATGTTAATCAATGCAGACAATTTCCTTATTCACAGTGAATAGCGAATGTGGCTGCAGATTGAGTTATCCATATCCGAGGCAATTTATTGAAACTCAATTGAAAGTAAAATAGCTAAGTAGACTTCTATTCTAATAATGATTAAATAGTGGACCATGTTTTGATTATGTTTCACGCCATTTTCCATATATCAAATGGCTTGGTCCTGTATTTGACGAGACTGATTTGTGAGACTGTTCTGCTATTTATCTACGTATGGTTGATAATCACTTGGAGAATTGATTCAACCATTCATTCGTCAGATGGAATTCTGGGAGTAACCAGGGCTTCTGGGAACAATTTTGGTGGTTGCTAATGGGTTGTTGTGCTGTCTAATTATTACACTTGACTGTTTGCAGATATAATTTTCATCTTTTCGATAGTAATAGCCTTTATTGTAGCTAAATTGATGAAGCAACCACAGCAATTAATGGTATCCTTCCAACATGGCCGTGTCTATAGACTAAAAATCAATGAAAATCAACACTCATGGAATTATCTAGATGAATCTGTTTTGAAAAAATATAGAATATTTCCCTGGATAAATTTATCAATGAAGACTAAGTTAAAAGTGGAACTCTTATAAAAACATTTGCCCGGTAGCAGACATGAATTGTTGACTATAAAGAGATGGCGTGTTCAGGTCACCAGAGGTCCACTAAATCAAACATCAATAGCTTATATTCTACTCTTATAATGGAGTGTGAAAGTGGCATTAATGATGGATTCTTATTGGGTTTTGTAACTAGATCATTCCTTAAATGTTGGTATTTCTTCCTGTTATCTCGGATTTGTAGTTTAGGTCAGACCAAATTAAATTCTTTAGAGATTTCATCTTACAAATGATAGAAAATACCGAGCCATGAAATAAGTATCCGGACACGGAAATTATCCAGCATAATTGCATTAAGTCCAGACAAGTGTCCGGCAAAATTTCTAGAGTTATTTCATGCCTGGGGAAATACTATGCTTAAAGGGACAGTATGCAGAATTTGAATTATTAGAAATGACTTGATCAAACTGAAAAAAAATATGCAGTGCACTGTACACTAACTAAATTTATAGATTATTTTAGCATTCTTATAATTTAACATTAGCATTTCTTTTATTTTAAAACTTGAAGATAAGGTTAAGGACCCATAACTACAGATTTTGTTCTTTAATTTTTGTTAATTTGAGCACCTAACTTATTTGACCATAATATTGAGGCTATTTCTTACATATCTATATACATGTATATTAAACATATTATACCAATTTGAAAGTTTGAAAAGACTTGTCAAAAGAACTAGTCATTTAGATATTAGAAATATACATAAAAATAAATTAAATATTTGAATGGCTTATGCATTATGTAGGGATAAAATTCCTTAAAGTCTAATCTTTATATAAGAAAGGATTTGTTCTACACAATAAAAAGACTTTTCAAATAAATATTTCACACCAAGTTCAATATCCTTTTCCAGTCAGCAACCAGTCTTGTAATAAGGTTGATAAGGTTAAAAAAAAGTAATCTCTGCATCTGTACGCACTATGGTGTTGGTGCTAAAAAGGTTTGAGGTTAAGGTTAATATTGACGTTAACAAGGAAAGCAAAAATAGAAACAAGTGAATGTATATGGCCAGTAATATAAAAAACAACATAGATAGACTACTCTGTGTATTGATTTTACACTACACTAGTTTCATAATGAATTGAATGATATAACCTTTTATAGCAAACAATATGTTAATAAATAACAATAAACTTTAATTAGATAGACACAAATATTCTCTTACTCTTAGCTTTATCTAATTGCTTTTACAAAGATAGCAATACCATATTGGTTTTATGTGATTAATATAGATGCCCTATACAAGAAATATAAAGAAACAAATTATAAGCAAATGATAGAATGGGGAAACTTGTCAAATAATGGGAAAGAATACATTACTAACTTGGCCTATGAGAAACATTAAAATTTGATGCAGCCTTTATTTATATATCATAAGATTGTGTCATGACTTTTTTTCAATTAGAATCGGCTTGAGCCATATTGCAGACAGACAATAATCCATTTTTATCCACCCTCATCAAAAATATCGTCATGAAGATTTAAAATCCAAGTAGTTGTTTTAAATGTCGAGGCAGAACAGAATCTCTAAAGAGTTTTTTTTTTTTAGTAGCTTGGGAGAGCATCATCACACTGCAGATGACAATGAACCTCGCTCCTTTCTCACGGTCATTAAAAATTAGTGTTCCATATCATTGGAAGGAAGAATTGAGTATATGACATAGCTCTAAATTGTTAAGTCAATCAAAGCATAGGATTTGCCTTCTGTTTGTAGTTAATCATGGTCTTAAGCATGCAGATCAAAATATAGATCTGGATTACATTTTCCTGTGAGTTAGTCCACTAACTGAATGGCTAGCCAGTTTATTTTCAGCCTGTCATGTCATTAAGGTCATTGGAAAGGCAGCTGCTGGTTACAAGTCAGCCAATGAATCTATCATTCTTTATAAATCTTATTAGATCCTGTTTTCCATGATGCTTACAAATGGTACAAATTATCACCCAAAATGTCAAAATTGCAATTTTTGTTATACAAGACTTCTATTTATTTGCAGGCAACAACATTATACTGTTTAGTTATGGAATATGCTCAAAGTCGCGATATCCTTACATTTTTAAAATCACATAAAGAACACAGACTTTCAGAAGATAAAGCACGGCCATATATACGTCAACTTGTATCTGCTGTTCATTATCTTCATGAACGTGGTGTTTGTCACAGGTATGTATATAAATTACTTCATTTACTAATTTGTCCATGTTGTATTTTGAAATTTGTCCATCTAATAATTTGTCCAACCAATAAATTGTCCATTGTTCATCCAATAAATTGTCTCCTCTTGTAATTTTTTCATCTTGTTATTTTGATTTGTACATCCAGTATTGATGGTAGGAAAACAAGTCATATTACTATCTGGAAGTTGATTTATAGCTGTTTAAATTCCTATCACTTTCATATAAGTAATCAGCATGCTCTGTCTAAGCATATTGTATGCTCCTTGGTCTTTTTTGCATATTAGGACTTCTTGGAAAATACACAAACTGCAATCAAATCAAAGAGGTTGACATGTTATTTGTTGTTAGAACTTGTATGTATATGAATAAAACTTCTTTCCCTCTCTATATTTTCCCCAAAGAAGATTTTATTATTTATATACCATATTTTATATGAAAACGAAAATCTCTAATTTTTGCAGAGATTTGAAAATGGAGAATATAATGTTGGATGCCAAAAAGAAAAATATACGAATTGTTGGTAAGTAAATAGATCTATCACCAAGTAAAGTTCAAAACATCAACATTTGAAATGTGATGTGACTCTAGAGACATTACCAGGCGCTGAATTGTGAATCTCCTTGATTGGAGATTGATGTATTAGGCTGACCTTGACATTTAAAATGGCTGATCAATTGTCTTTGAGAATATCAGCCACTTCACACCATTTGAAATGATTTGATGTTTTTATTATCATCTTTAATTTCTTGTCAAGCAAATAAATCTCCCCAAAATGTAGATGTTTTATTAAAAGAGAATAAATATTTTATGCAGACCATGGTTATAGTTAGTTCTTGACATTGTTAACTTTGTCTTATATTGTACAAGAAGCAGAATTAAAAGGTTAAAAACTTGATCAAGTTGCAGCCTTCTTTACTCTGCAGCTTTTTTGGGTTACAATTATTACTAATAGGAATTTGTAAATTTCTCTCCAGCTATCTTTATATTGTTTTTTTTTCTGATATTTATCTAAATATCAAATGCATATTATATATCATATAACACTGTTTTTACTTTTTGATCTTAAAAAGTGTCTTATTCATATGTAACTTTTACAAAATTTTTTTTTAAAGATTTTGGTTTAAGTAATACTTATACAATGGATGAGTTGATGAAGACACATTGTGGCTCCCCTGAATATGCAGCTCCTGAATTATTTGCCGCAGGTGAAAAATATGGGCCTGAGGTGGATATTTGGGCTATGTGAGTTTCTTTTAATATTTTTACTGTTGCCCATTGAGAAATGTTGATTAATGGAGAGAACTGTATTTTTAATAAGTTTATTGAGAAAGTGTAAGGAAGATATTTTTTTTTTGCCCTTCTTGATGAAGTTGTTTTTTTCAAATATTCTTAATTTCTCTAATGATTATTTCAGGGGAATTATATTATATGCAATGTTGGTAGGTAAACTACCATTCACTACGGTTTATACAGATCAGTATAGACGTATTAAACTATTAAAACAAATTGAGAAAGGTATACAATTAGAACAAGAGCAAGAAATGGTACATCTTTCATCAGGTAAGTTAACCTTTTTATATGATGTATATAGTATATAGTTATGGTCATAATAGGATTGATCACTTATGGTCATGGTAATGATATCAAAGATATCATTTGGTCATGGTTATGATATTGGTAACCTCTTATGGTCTTGGTCATGATATTGGTGACCTCTTATGGTCATGGTAATGATATTAAGGATCTCTTATGGTAATGGTAATGATGTCAGTGATCTTTTATTGCAATGATATTGGGGCTCTATTATGGTCATGGGAATGATATCATGGATCTTTATGGTCATGGTATTGATGTAAGTGATCTCTTTTTGTTATGGTAATGTTATCAGAGATCTCTTATGGTCATGGTCATGATATTGAATTTGAACCTATTAAAACCTAGCATACATAATAACCCAGAGATAATAAATGTAGCTTATTGCCTTCAGATGAAATTCCTCATGTTATTAATTATTTAGTCCATCATTTTATGACTGTTAAGAAATGCCAAGCCTTTGGCATATATAGTTTATATATTTTTTAAGTTAGGTTTGGTTTGTCTAGATCTGATTTGCTTTCCTTTCCTTATAAAAAATTGTACTGATTGATATCTTCTGCATGAATAATGAATTTGCTATTTTAATTATACCATTATTTACATGGATTTCCCTACTTGAAGACAAAACCTATCTGATTAATCTTTTACCCTCAGATTAAAGCTTTAATTAGTTCAGTATGCAACTTTACTTTGGCAAGAGTCATAAAAGATCATATCAGATCTAATTCTGGATTTTAGATATATTAAGATTTTTAAAATCAAAACAAATGATCAATTATCATTTTACATGTTTTGAACTATTTCAGAGGCTTGTGACTTTTTGAAGAGTATAATAGAACCAAAACCAGAATTACGTCTTCCAATGCTGGATATTGAAATCCATCCATGGATCACCGAGGGATCCAAAGTTCCATTTTTCCCTTTTGTTGCCCTTCCTCGGGATAAAACTCTCAAGTCACAGGTAAGCGACAAAGGGATTTACAGTGAAAAAGGGGGTGGGTTTTAAAAGCCAACCGCCTACTGCTGCCAACCGGCATACTGGAGTGAAAAAAAGGGCGCTAAAATGAGCATTGTTAAATTTAAAGATCGTAGTTTTTCATACTACAAAACGAAACTATTCAATTTGACGGAATTTTTGTTGACGTCAATATTATGGAATCAAAGTTATTTTAAAAATGAAACGAAACAAATTAATATTTCTTTTCTTGCTTTGAGATATTTTCCTTCACATTTTCTGATTCAATTCGTGTTTAAGACAACGACTGAACAAGGTCGTTTGTTTCAGAGTTACTTCCCTTAACTTTTACTGTCGTCAGGAACATGGAGCATCAAGGCCAAGGAATCTTTCTTCCACCTATAAGAATTTTTTCAAAATTTATCCTTGACGTAGACTATAATAATTCTGCGAATGCTCCTCCTGTTAATCCAACAGAATCATCGATATATGTAGTGGATACAAATCTTCACCAAGATTGGAAGCAGACTTCCAGTAGTTGGAAAAATCAGGTGTCCAAATATAGAACCTTTAAAGAAAGAGATGGTGGGACGAGACCACATGGTGATGATGGTTGGTTGATCGAAAATGTTGCGGCGAAAGAATGTGACTAATCATTGTGAAAATATTGGTGATTGTCATGTCATGAGGCAAACTTATTATAAGCATGGCAATCCGAAGTATTCTGATGTCAGGAAGATGATAACTTGATAAATAAGTCTTGGTTTTTGTACGTTTTATTGTGTGCCCCATATGATTATTGCTATTTTAAAGAAATATTAATTTGTTTCGTTTCATTTTTAAAATAATTTTGATTCCATAATATTGACGTCAACAAAAATTCCGTCAAATTGAATAGTTTCGTTTTGTAGTATGAAAATCTACGATACTCAAATTTAACAATGCTCATTTTAGCGCCTTTTTTTTCACTCCGGTATGCCGGTATGCCGGTTGGCAGCGGTAGGCGGTTGGCTTTTAAAACCCACCCTGAAAAAGGATATTTTCTGTTTTATGACCTCTCTGATTTCTAGAGTTACTTATGCCGGTATGTTACTGGTCTGTGCTGAATGGTCACATGATTGCAAGTGTTTTTTCATTTATGATTTTCTTATGAGATAAGATGATTAGTATTGTATATTATCTTAGCTGAGAATACTTATAAAACTCTAAAGGAAAAATTGTACATAATATTCTGTATATAATTACTAATACAATTAAGGTTTCAGAACATGTTAATTTAAAACTTTTCATAGGAAGAGTCTCTTTCTTTCTCATCATTTCAACTGAGGATGAGGTCAAGGACCAGTAGGTCCAAAACATGCCTGAACCTACGTTGTTAACCTTGTAAAATAAGGCTGTTTTGTTTGTTCTAAGATTAAATGTATTTGTTTTTGCAGGTTTTGTGTGAATTATCTGAAGCATTATCAATGAAGAAAGAAGTGATCGAATCTCAAATTCAGGAGAATAAAAATAGTGATGTATCAGCGATGTACAATATGTTGTACCATCAAAAACGTATTGCATCAGGTATGTTTTGGTTTTTACAAGCACAATTTACTATGTGGCTTAGAGTAATACATGTTCCATTATGAAATCTTAAATATTTTACACAAAATTCTGAAAGCTATTTTTACTTATTACATCAGCCAACACCAACATAGCTGTTTGCATAGTGCATTTGTTTAGGAGGTTGATATTATTATATGAAGAACATCTACTACTTTTGCCCATATGATATCATATCTTACGAGATTTTGTAATGATTTAAAGCTATAGTATTGTATTAATGGCCTGCATGTGTTAATCATGTTTTCATGCTAAATAGGCCTGTCATTATGGAATAAGGTAAGAAACGATGAGAAAAAAAACCCAATGTATACAAATTTTTTAGTTATTTTCAAAGTAGTATTTTTCTTGAGGTGTATTAGGTATGTTACCCAAGGTAAATTAAAGCCAGCTTTTCGTCAAATGCCTACATCTTTCTTTGTGAATTACACTTTTAATTCACAATTGTATATAAAAATGTCCATGGTAAAAGTTTTACAAATTTTTGTGAAACTTAGTTTCTTATTATCTTATAGTTTTTCATCAACATTTCATGTAACATTTCTATATTTCAAACCATTGTAGAAAATATTAATCATACTTTCAACTCTTTCAGGAGTGTACAATCTAGATCACACAATTAAAGCTAACCAACCTCCTGAAGGTAAAGGTAAAAAGAAAAGGTCTAAATCAGCTCATATTGATAAAGATGGAGGCAAAAAATCTAAAAATAAAGGTAACTAGACCTGCAGTAGCAGTTCTACTACACTTGCTGAAGCAGACGTCAACATCATCAAGCCGTCTGCCTGCCTGTCATCAATGCAACTGGAGCTAGTTATTTCCCTTTTATTTCAGATTTGAAAATCTAAAATATGTCTTTGGTTAAGATTGAAAATTCAGTTTGAGTTTTGAGAAAATTTATAATAATTACAAGTTTCAGAATGTGACCGAAAAATTATTAAAGTTGCCTTCAACACGTCTTTAGATATCAAGGTTGCCTCCTAAAAGTATGTGAAACTTTGAAATAGGGTCTTATCTTTAGGAGCTGATGAGCTGGACAAATCAAATACACGAACAACTGAGTTGAACCTTTTACTTTTTCAAATTTTCAATTTCCTATTCGAATATGTGGGCATCTCTATTTACTTTTTCAAATTCCTGTAAACCAGTTGCATGCGGATGATAAGGGCTCTTCAGTTTAACAATTTTTGCATTTAATCATTTTAGTTTAACTTACATTTAATTTGCAAAATATTTCATTTTGGCTCACTATTTTATTCATTTTTAGTACAGAATATATTTTGCAATATTAATACAAACTGAAAGATTTTATTATTTCTGACTTTTGTCAGAGTAGATATTCTAGTTATTTTATTTTCTTTCATCACATATGAAATGTTGCACAGGACATGTATATTATACCCCTCACTGAAGAATGGGTTTGTGACTGATTTAAGAGATTTTGTGTGAAATATTATTAAGTTGGGGGTCTTTTGTCTTTGGTGGCATGGTGTACCAATTTATTTTGGATGTTGTGATCTTTTCACAATTTTCTTACATTAGGCCTGTTTAAAACTAAGAAATGACCTAAAAATTGACCATATATTAGAACTTTTTTGTATCAATAAATTTTGGACACAATTTTATGGATAACATTTACCTTGATAAATTAATAATTAATATTAAAGTAATTGTTATCCATGTGTCCAGTTATTTATTACTAAATAACTAACTGCCACTTAAGGAAGTTATCAACAAATTTGGTATTAATTGAAGAAATGACAATAATTATATTAAAAAAAAGCATTAGAACATTTACTTCTAATTCTGGATATTTTTATCCAATCAATAAAACCAGGCCTAATGATCTTTATGACATGGTATATAAAAAGATATATATGGACTTATACATATATCATGTTTAATTATTTTAGTACCACCACCAGAGCTAGTCTTACCAACTGATGTTCCTGTTGATAAAAATCAACATAGTACCGGCAGTAAGGAACCTGGATCTGCTGGTCATGAGACCAAGTTTAGTTCCTTCGATTTCCTCGCGTTATGCAGCACACCAACATGGTTAGGGCCAGAACGTCGAAGATCTCGAAGGAGATCTAGGTCACCCGGTCCTAATACCAATACTTCACATGTAAGTAATTCTGTTTTTGGTAATCAGAAACGATAGGTCGTAAAATACCTTTTTATTTTTTAACTAAAAGATTTTAACAGTATTTATGACAAAATAAAACACAAGCATCTACAAAATACGTCAGCACTATATAATGAATAGTTCTTGTTTTTTTCAAGAAAATCAAAGGTGGA